GCTAATGAGTTGACTTAACGATTATCTCGAACATACATGATTATCTAGGAACATTAGACTTTCAATTTTTCATGAATGGTTCCAAGGCAAAAGTTATAAATATCAAAGTACTTTATACTATTGATAAAAAATAAAAGCAAATATATCAAAAGTCCTTGAAAATCTATTTTTTCTCTCGACTCAATCTCTCTTTCTTTCTGAAAAATATTTTATAAATTAATTATTTAAATAAATGCATATAAAGTTGGATTAGTGCCATCCAATGAAACTTTATTGATTGATTTTTTCTGCAAACAAAAATCCATTTGCTTGGTATCTTTTTTATCTTTATGATGGAAATAAAAACAAGTCAGAGCAAAAGGTCAGTACAACCGATCATGCAGCAAAAATCATTCAATCGGCTCTCGATAACCAAACTCTTCAACTTGTAAACTAATTGATTCAAACCATTCAGCTTCTATCCATTAACGAGCAGCAGAATTATTCATTCGTACCAATTAACAGTGCTTGGAAAACGAATGGTAGTGGCATCAAAATATATATGTATTTATACAAAATACATCTATATTATTTAATATAACTGAAGCATACTCGCATTTTTCTTTAATCCCAAGTCAAGTTTGAGTTTCGAAGATGCAGATGTATGTATGGAAAAAGCTCTCTCTCTTTCTCTCACGCGCGCGCTTGGTCGTGGAAAAAAGTAAGCTCGTTGGAGATGAAGAGAGAGAAAGAGAGAGAAGAAAAGCCTCCGAAAATACGAAATCACGAGCAAACATAATTGACCCGTTGAAGTTTTAAACAAAGAAACAAGTCGGAGAAAAGATTTTCAAGAAGCAAAGGAGAAATAGAGAAAAAGAACGAGTGGCAGAAAGATTTAGTAAGACGAAGAAAGTCCGAAAAAGAAACAGAAGAGGTGAGCGAGAGCAGTACGCGCATGTGTGTCTACACGCACAGGCCGAGAATTGAGGCCCAAGAATTTCTTGTTCTTCGGATGTAGAAAAAAAATTGAAGCAGAGAAGGAGCAAAATGCTTGCAAAAAATTAGCTTGTCGATTACTACTATATGTCTGCATGCTGTATATAAAGCATGAGCATATTTAATAACGACGGACACAAGTAAAAAAGTCCGAGAAAACTCAACGAAAGAAATCCACACCAATATAAGCTTTTGTATGCAATTGTCGGATATACAAGGATTAAATCTGTATATATCATAGGTCATATAGCCAGACTTCCACTCGAGGAGAGAAAGGAAGGTGTACAGCCGGGCAAGAGCAATCCGGAGGCAGTTTTTGCAGCCCGAATAGCCCCTCTTTCGCTGTATATAGTGGCCTCTTACGTGATAATTAGCCAGGGCATTGGTCGCTTGCGATAATTAGCGGTCCAGCAAAGCTCTGCGAGAGTAAAGTTCTTACTGCGAATGCGAGGAGAAAACTCCTAGCGTCTTGCCCTTTGAGCAGAAAAAAATGTTCTCGCTCCACGGGGGAGCATGAAGGGGATCACCGGCGGACGAATTATCCATATAGATTCCAGCTACTCTTTCTATGTGTATGCGTTCGAGCCGACTCCGATAGGGGATGTTTTTCAAAGCGGCCGGAGAAGTCCGTTTAGTTGGCAATGTCCGGTTAAAGCTTTTACTTTGCCACATCCAAGCTAAGATCTCAAGATAACTCTAATTCTCTAAGTCCATAGATGACTCATGATTGAGAGTATCTAAAGAGTAGATATATCAATCTATATATTAAATACAATTTCAATAAAAATAAAAGTTACAGTATTAAAAACACTTTATTAAATTTATTAAACGTTGTGTTAAGTAGTCTAAAAAAAATCGGCTGCTAAAACGATATTTTAAAATAGTCTGTAAATCGACTTTTTTCATTCAGGTCCTTTTTTCCTCTTTGTTTCTCCTTACCATTGAATATGTTTTACCACGAGTTGGATGCATAAAATCCTGCATGCATACGGTATACTTCATGTCACACACTACACGTTTGAACAAATCTGTATTGCTTATGAAGTTAAAATTCACGCAATGTTTATTGGTTTATTCCTAAATTGTAGTAAAAAACGTTAACTGAGTAGAAAAAGGCTTGGGACTAAAAATGATCAAAAATCACTCAATCGGTTTAAGATTAAAACGAATATCGGATCTACACGTGGTCAACTCGATAGCATAAAAATAATTCATACGAGAGACGTTGCGAAAAAAGTCGAGTATTTATTTGCTCCAAGAGCTTCAAAGTCACGCTTGTAATCTACACTGCATGAGTATTTCAAGACGTTTGATGGCCGCTACTGCAGTGTAGATGCAACAATATCATCCGCACGTGAAAAACCAAAACGTCATCGTAGGGAAACGGGGAATTTCATGTTTAAAAAAGTCCGTACGTTTACTGTATACGAGAGAGAATGTATAGTGTAAGAGAGGAGGCGATCGAGTCGAGTTAGACAGTAGCCAAATGCTCGGCAGTGTATAATATGGATCAAGTCGATGAGCGGCTCGATCGACGCGCGGTGTCGGTGAAATAAAGAAAAAAAGAAAATAAAAAGAAAAGGTAGCGCGGATAATGGACTATGAAAGAGAAAAGAGATCGCTGCAGTACATCAGCTCCCACATTGAATGTATCAGGCGCGAGAACACATCAGCGTATTCGGACACGCATCAATTTCGCATCTCTTTCTCTCTCTCTCTCTCGATCGCGTCTATACGAGAGTATAATATAAGCGAGGGTTGAGACAGCTACTGTGCGCGCCGCGTGCAATGTGCGAAGAAGTAATGCAGAATCGTGCGAGTCGAGTGTGGGAAGGTTCGTGGGCAGCAAAAACGAAGAAACGGTAGTTCGGATCGCCACTCATTGCTCTGCTCCTTTTGCCTGGGCTAGCTTTGCCCAGCCGCGCTTGATTCGACGTATTATAGTGTGTACACATTGTTGTTGCGATACTTCGTGGCATGTGTACACAAAAGCTCTCTCGTACTCTCTCGAGGATCACCGCGGAGTCTATCTCTCTTTCTCTCTCTCTCTCTCTCTCTCTCTCTCTCTCTCTCGTCGATTAACAACTTTATCGCTCTTTCAGATGCATGCCCGATCGCGTGAAAAACACCAAACGGCGCTGAGATATATTAAAATCCTTGTCTATCTTCTCCGATAGCTCGTGCCTGACTTTTTTTTGCTTAACACTTTTTTTACCGTAGCAGTTTCGCGGAGCAGCGCGAGCGAGAACGAGGCGTTGACGAATCTTTTGCCTTCCTCGAGTTATAGGTACAGACATACGTATGCACAATGTATATCGTGACAACGCGCGCCGACGCTATCCAAGATTCTTTTCGCCTATGCCGATTGATTGAAATAGATATGGAATAAGCTGAACGTTTATTGGACTGTGTATATGGAGGTGAATCTGTTTTGCCCATAAAAAATTACGAGTATGCGTTGATTTGTTTTTATTTTGAGCCGATCGCGTATTTTGTTTCGATTTGTTTGGCAATCATACTAGGTCAGATACACTATAAGGCGTGAATCTTTGTAAACGATATCTTTGATACCATAGACTTGTACTTATATCGAGTTCGTCGCTTCTTCAACTCGATAAAAAGAAAAAAATCTGGCTGCTTTTCAATTACGTTGAATTCGGTAGAACAAGATCTAACATTCTTTGCCGTCACTTAATCGATGCACATGCAAAACTAACGTAACTCAAAGCCCACCAGTGAATGATTCTCAATAGTGATTAGAAAATGCATCGGCTTATATGTTCAGAATATGTTTCTTGTCCAATCTTTAGCTCAAAAATGCACATAAATTGAATGTTTATCATATCTTTTCACACATTATGAAAGCTTCCCCGAAAATTCACAAAAAGTCTTTTCTTAGACACTTCCAGAAAGCTTACAAAATGTTTGTTTCTAGCTCGCGTAAAGCATTGATGAAACCGTGGTAACCTTTTTTATAACTGACTAAAAAGTTTGAAGTCTTTTTTCAAAATTTTCGTGCAAGCTTTCGACAAGTTTCCTGAAAGGTTGTAAGAAATGTTCCACGGACTATATTTAAAACATTTTTTTTAATGTAAGCTTTGTGGAAGCTTTACTAAAAATTTTAGGGAAATTTACTGGAACCTTTTCGGAAGCCTTCTCGAAAGTTTTCATGAACGTTTCTTAAAATTTTTGAAAAGATGCGACAAAAATTTTAATGAAATATCTAAAAAGCTTTTTAGAATCTCACTAGTGTTTTACGTTTTATATATTGTCACGTGGATGCGCCGAGCATCAGGTAACGCTGACTCGGCTCTTCCCCGTGACTGCAAGCGTTCTACGCTGCAGCCGTTCGTCCGGGCCGGCGACGATGATGCACCTGACGATGCGTCACCGCGGGCCCCCCCTTTTTAATTGCAATGTCTTAATCATAATGAGCATCAGTCCTAATCAAGTCGCAGTTGACTACGGTTCGCTTTCATTTCACTCTTCTCGATCTCTCTTCAAGTTTTTACCGCTGCATTAACTCCTATGCGTATTCTTATTTATTATTTCCCCAATCCTCCAACGATTCCCCACGTATCAATTGGTGCTAGGTGCGGTGTTTTTTTTGGAGGCTCCCTTGGGGTTTTCTTTTTAAAAAGATTTTTTTTTATGTAACGCATAAACAACTTTTTTCGGAAACGCGATTTACGGTCGAGTGAACGAACAATAGTGAATTGATAAGTGAAGTTTCCTGCCAGAGGCGCAAATCCAATACCAGCAGAAAAGTGATAACCGAGCGCCAGCCAGAAGCTCAACAGCAATTAGTCACGAATTTAGAATGCCATCAATATTTCTTATTTTATGGTAAGTTTACTTTTTTATCAATAATTTATAGCATACATATTTAGTAACGCCTTGAGAGCAATAACGTTATATAAGGACTCAAAATATTTCGCGAATATTATATTTAAATTTTTTTTTATTTGCTGTTGGCCCTCTTACCTTTTTTTTTCTAAATTTTTTATATATTTTTAACAATAATAATGGGATTGTTCGGGCCAAAGAGCAAAAATAACGAGGAAAATAGTTCCACGGGGGAAGGTATTTTGGAAATTGATGTTGTATTAAAATATTTAGACTCGTGCTCAAGCGCAGAAAGGCACGCAATTATAGCTAAGTATATGTCTAGCTCAGAGAGCGATGAGAGCGAGCATCCCCGAGATGATCGCACGGACGGCGTAGACAAATCAATAGATACCGCGCCCACACTCTCAAATCTAGTAGAACTTTTAAACCCAAATACAAGTTCCAATATGGCCCCCCCTACACAAGAAACACACACTAGCACATCAAATGCTCAGACAACAACACAATACGCTATACCGCAGGGCAGCGCTAGCACATCAAATGCTCAGACAACAACACAATACGCTATACCGCAGGGCAGCGCTAGCACATCAAATGCTCAGACAACAACACAATACGCTATACCGCAGGGCAGCGCTAGCACATCAAATGCTCAGACAACAACACAATACGCTATACCGCAGGGCAGCGCTAGCACATCAAATGCTCAGACAACAACACAATACGCTATACCGCAGGGCAGCGCTAGCACATCAAATGCTCAGACAACAACACAATACGCTATACCGCAGGGCAGCGCTAGCACATCAAATGCTCAGACAACAACACAATACGCTATACCGCAGGGCAGCGCTAGCACATCAAATGCTCAGACAACAACACAATACGCTATACCGCAGGGCAGCGCTAGCACATCAAATGCTCAGACAACAACACAATACGCTATACCGCAGGGCAGCGCTAGCACATCAAATGCTCAGACAACAACACAATACGCTATACCGCAGGGCAGCGCTAGCACATCAAATGCTCAGACAACAACACAATACGCTATACCGCAGGGCAGCGCTAGCACATCAAATGCTCAGACAACAACACAATACGCTATACCGCAGGGCAGCGCTAGCACATCAAATGCTCAGACAACAACACAATACGCTATACCGCAGGGCAGCGCTAGCACATCAAATGCTCAGACAACAACACAATACGCTATACCGCAGGGCAGCGCTAGCACATCAAATGCTCAGACAACAACACAATACGCTATACCGCAGGGCAGCGCTAGCACATCAAATGCTCAGACAACAACACAATACGCTATACCGCAGGGCAGCGCTAGCACATCAAATGCTCAGACAACAACACAATACGCTATACCGCAGGGCAGCGCTAGCACATCAAATGCTCAGACAACAACACAATACGCTATACCGCAGGGCAGCGCTAGCACATCAAATGCTCAGACAACAACACAATACGCTATACCGCAGGGCAGCGCTAGCACATCAAATGCTCAGACAACAACACAATACGCTATACCGCAGGGCAGCGCTAGCACATCAAATGCTCAGACAACAACACAATACGCTATACCGCAGGGCAGCGCTAGCACATCAAATGCTCAGACAACAACACAATACGCTATACCGCAGGGCAGCGCTAGCACATCAAATGCTCAGACAACAACACAATACGCTATACCGCAGGGCAGCGCTAGCACATCAAATGCTCAGACAACAACACAATACGCTATACCGCAGGGCAGCGCTAGCACATCAAATGCTCAGACAACAACACAATACGCTATACCGCAGGGCAGCGCTAGCACATCAAATGCTCAGACAACAACACAATACGCTATACCGCAGGGCAGCGCTAGCACATCAAATGCTCAGACAACAACACAATACGCTATACCGCAGGGCAGCGCTAGCACATCAAATGCTCAGACAACAACACAATACGCTATACCGCAGGGCAGCGCTAGCACATCAAATGCTCAGACAACAACACAATACGCTATACCGCAGGGCAGCGCTAGCACATCAAATGCTCAGACAACAACACAATACGCTATACCGCAGGGCAGCGCTAGCACATCAAATGCTCAGACAACAACACAATACGCTATACCGCAGGGCAGCGCTAGCACATCAAATGCTCAGACAACAACACAATACGCTATACCGCAGGGCAGCGCTAGCACATCAAATGCTCAGACAACAACACAATACGCTATACCGCAGGGCAGCGCTAGCACATCAAATGCTCAGACAACAACACAATACGCTATACCGCAGGGCAGCGCTAGCACATCAAATGCTCAGACAACAACACAATACGCTATACCGCAGGGCAGCGCTAGCACATCAAATGCTCAGACAACAACACAATACGCTATACCGCAGGGCAGCGCTAGCACATCAAATGCTCAGACAACAACACAATACGCTATACCGCAGGGCAGCGCTAGCACATCAAATGCTCAGACAACAACACAATACGCTATACCGCAGGGCAGCGCTAGCACATCAAATGCTCAGACAACAACACAATACGCTATACCGCAGGGCAGCGCTAGCACATCAAATGCTCAGACNCTCTCTCTCTCTCTCTCTCTCTCTCTCTCTCTCTCTCTCTCTCTCTCTCTGCACAATATGTGTATATACTTGCACACAACACACGCACGCGTATGTATGTACGGAAAAATGACACGCGACTCTATAGTTCGTTCTCCTACTCGTCGTCGTCGGAGTTCGCAGTCGTTGTCATCCCGCGAGTCCCTCGCATACACACACATGCGCGCGTACCTATGTGTATGCAGCTCCTTCTCATTTTTTTTTATTCCGTGCGACGTGCGATATATGCACTGTACGGTGAACCCTCTACTTGCCGCTGCTACTCACCAAGTCATCCTTTTGAGAGAAAGAGAAGGCGGACTCGACGCTCCACGTAGACGGGGAATGCGTCTGATCTATACCTCGCATGCACGAAGCTAAAAAGAGAGATGACGATGACTGCGTTCACACCACGTCGTACGACGACGACGACGCGATTGCGCTAATGTCGAGTTCTTACATTTTTTTTTTCTTTTTTCTTCGCTTTATATGCGACGCGTTGACGACAACGACAACGACGATGTATATATATACGTCTCGGTCCCGTTAGGCTTCTACTCGTGCTCCGTAGTAGTAGTAGTAGTAGTAGTATACGTTTACGTCATTGTCATCGTAACTCTCGGAGCTCTCTTCCTCTTTCTCTCCAGCAGCAGCTTGGATGAATTTTTTCTTTTTTCTCAAAAAAATAATACCTCAACTCGCTCGTTTTCCCAGGAACGAAGATGCGCGGGAAGATTTATCCAAATTACTCATTTCTAATGGGCGCTAAGGACTCGCTCTATACGCTCCTCCCTCTCCACCGCCAACAAAAATAATAGCCGCGGCGGCTCTAGTTTAGATAGAGATGAATTGAGAAAATAAGCCTCGGTGTTGTTGGCGCTGGTGTCCCCTACTTTTGCGGTTGCTACCGCTGATTCTGCACGCTATATATATAACGAGCAATTGAATTTAATAACTTAAGCAAGCATCGCGCGCGAGTAGAGCAGCAGCAGCAACGCACTTTACGAGCCCACTCACTATACTATGCCAAAAAGCCACTCGTGTCAGCCGCCCTGCCTGCCTCTGCCCTCTTCTCTCTCTCTCTCTCTCGCACTCGCTCGCAGTCCCTGGGAGCGCTTTATCTGTTAATTAGTCGTCTGCAGGTGAGAGGTTGCTGAAAATAATGTTCAATTCGCCGCGCGCGCTCGCTCTCGCTCTTGAAATAGGAGGCCTTTTAATGTTGTAAAATCCTCGTGACTCGCGACGACGCCTCTCTTTCTCACTCTGGAGGCTCTCCCGCGTATTATATATTATTATAATGTGCAGCACGAAGCCGAGGAGGAAAGGCGACGACGCAGCAGCAGCAGCAACACCGGACGCGCTCCAACCAAGCCAACGTAAACAAAATCCATAAAAATAAACATTATCGTGGTGCACGTCTACATTTCAGAGTCCTTTATATATACAAGTTGCAGCGCAGCATCAGCCGTGGCGACGAAAAAAGGGAGAAAAAAATGAGAAGAAGAAGAAGAAGGAGATAACCTATAAAAGAGACACGGCAAAGAAGCGCGTTGCAACGCAGAGCAGAGAGAGCAGAGAAGAACAAGTTAAGTAAGCACAGCGAAGAAGAGACATGGGAGGGGCGAAAAATCGAGGAGATAGATAAGATGAAGAGAGAGAGAGAAGAACGAAGCATATAATAAGACTCGCTCGCGCGCTCATCGTCGTCGTGGAGGCGACGTCGACGAAGAAGACAACGACGAAAATGCAGCGAGTTTGTGTGCTCGCAGGCTATATGCCATTCTCTCTCTCTCTCTCTGCCTTGCTGCAAGCGGCGAGCCCGAGTGGTTATCTAGATTATGGCATTCCTGACTTCGAAGAAGCTCTGCGCTGTGCTGTATTGCTGTATATCGCTGCAGCGACCACGCGTGAACGCGTCGAGCTCTCTCTCTCTCTCCGCGTAAATATATATATAATACAATTTAAAGCTGACCAAGCGCGACGAGAGAGACCTTTAGATAGCTCTGGCGCGCGCGCGGCCGCAGAGTAGAGTGAGAGAGAGAAAATAAATCGAGAGAAAAAAGAAATTTCCTTTTTCGTGTCAACGAGAATAGAAAACAAGTGGGCAGCACCGAGGAATCTGTGTGTAAACACAGAGACAAACAAGAGAAAAAAATTAGATGACACTTTCCACAAGACCCAAATTGTCTCTGGTGTCGTATTGTATACAGTTGTGTAGAGACAGAGAGAGAGACTAATTTGACGACGCGTGCCACACCGAGAGAGAGATCGGCCATTGTTTGCTCATCACACCTGAGACACGATTATGTGGCTTTTCGTCACTTTCCATCACAATGAAGGAAGAGACGATTCAAAAGGAGAGAGAGATGAGCTCCGTATATAATCGTTGTTGCGTAATCTTGATTAGGATATAAGGCGCACAGGTCGTGTCACACGCCGGCAGCTGTATAAATACATCCAAGAGCGAGATAAAGCATCTTTCCGCGACGACACTTTTTTTCTCCCTGTCTCTTTCGATCGATCGGTCGGTCGGTCGCAGTCTAGCGGGTGCTATGCAACGCAGAAAGTAGCACCAAAGTTTTCAGCAGCAGCAGCAGCAGCCACGAAGAAAAATCCCTAGAATCCGGAAGACGAAGGCGCAGATTATATGGATTTCTGCCGGTGCAGCATCAGGAGGTGGAGGAGGAGGAAAACTCGTCAATGAGATTTTCACGCAGATTGAATAAGTAAACGATAATCTGATCGGCGACGACGGCCAAGACGAAGTTGCCATTATGCAGGCACACACAGGCACATGGCAATGGCATTGCACCCCGTTCCTGTCGTGCCAGAGGTTGCGTGTTGCGTGCATACACGCCTGCTTGAATTAGCGACAGGCGTTATACCTAAATACCTCCGATATTTCTCTCGCCACGAAATATCGCTTCGATGCTCGTGGAAACTTCGGAATATAAATCCTTCGCTACTTTCGTTGCAAAATATATCATCATCGCACTTACGTAGATCAATCGTACGTTGCAAAGCATGAAAAATTGGAGAAACGCGAGGACGAGACTCGAGGAAAAATGCGAGAGAGTCGAGTTCGAAGAGACGCGCACAGATGGCGTTAGAGGTCTCGCGAAACTCGCTGCAGTGCACTGCAAAACTGCAGCATCGTCTTCGCGGATGCTGCACGAGATACAAGACCCCGTTTTTCCCTTCTCTCTCTCTTCTCCCATTCTCTTTCACTCTATAGGTACGCTGGCTTCTTCGCCACGTCTACTAGAGCTCCAAGACTCTCTTTTCTTTTCGCGTTGTATGTATAAGATACACGAGCTCCATTCATGGCTGCGTGGAGGTTGCGCAATTTAAATCGATATTTTCGTTAAGGGACGCGAATCTCTTTTTTGTCTTCCTCTTCTTTTTTTTTTAATGAGAGGCCTGTGTGACTCGGCTCTTCTTCTTCTTATTCGCGCGGCTGCATTTAAAACTGTTTATTCCCTCATTATCCTGACCCTCCGTACGTACGGTAACATCGTGTGTGCCCCTGTGTGTGTGCGAGTATATTTTCCAAAATAAACAATTTTCTACCGCGGACAAATTACGATTTTCGGTCGTCCGCGAACCTGTGATGACGCGAATTAAAGTCCCCTCCCCCCGAAATAAAAAAAAGGGGAGAAGAAGCCTTCCTGCCTCGCGTCGCGCCCGAGCGACGATGATAAGGGGAAAAAAAGGAGGTGAAAGAAGAGCAATTTCAGTGATCACATGTAACGGCTCGCGTGATTTCTATAAGCGCGCGAGAGAGAGAGAGAAGGAGATGTATATAGAGAGAGATACGTATTAAAGTCCTCTCGCTAAGGTGGGCCGCACGCTCATTACCGGGATAATGGTTATTTCGATCTCCCCTCCCTTTGTCCCATGCCTGGTTGTGGCCCCGGTCCGGGCTCGAATTATCATCGAGTCACCTCGACAATATAAGGCGGCCTACCGTCGTCGTCGTCGTGGCTTTATCGAGGCGAAGGACCGGTCCCGACACAGTACGGCCATACACACGTACACACACACACACCGATGATTCATCAGAAGAGATATGCGAGAGCAAAGCCATTCAAGTCGCGACGGCAGTCGAGTTCGCGCGCGGCACCACCATACACCTTGATATACAACGTGAAACGCCGAACGAGAGCAAAATAAAACGAAGAGAAAAGAAAAATGAATCGACAGCCTAATATGCACTTGTTGTAATAAAAAAGAAGAAAAAGGATCACAATAGCAGTGCTACAACAAAAAGTCAATTGGATCGAGCTCCGCTCTTACTTATGTGCTTTAAGTAACAACTTCTAATTGAGTCGAGAAAAAAAATTCGTTGATTATTAGGGCCTGTCTTAAAAGCTTTTCCTATAAAAGCTATTCTCCGATTGTTGTGTCCCATCGCGTACATGTACAGTTACACACGCCGGCAAAGTATATTATATACATCGTGCCACAGATGTTACGCAGCGATTCGCGCACACACGCATTTATATAGGTGGGTGGGTGGATGCGAGAGTTAATTTTATTCACGAGAAAATTAAGTTGTTCAGCGAATTGAGCCAAGACGTACACACGCGCACGCGCACACATCCTTTCGACCGGCGCGTACGTATATACAGTTGTCGAGATCTTTTTGCAGCCTTAGCAGCTGTTCCCGGGCAGTCGTGGCAGCTTTAAAAAGCTCTCTCGGTACTTTTTCGGCGGCGATTATAATTTCGCGCTGTGCCTTATACCGAGTGAGTGGTGAGAGAGAAGGAGTACGATGAACTCACCCACGCCGGCGCCTTTTTGCCGTATGTGCGCGCGGGTGTATACGTATGTATAACTCCCGTGTCATTAGTTTTCGCGGCGTCGATCAACTCAATTAAGGCACTGCTGCTGCTGCTGCCGAGAAAGAGAGAGAGAGAGAACCTTTTTCCCCTAGTACGCATACGCA